CAGGACACATAAGCTCATTTGCAGTGAATTAACACAACTAAGAGTTTCAATTTAATCCACTGTCACATGTGAATATGGTTACACTTGTATAGGTCTAATTGTTAAATGTGGAATAGTGGTGGTGGTGGTGATGGGATGTGGACATCTCATTCCCTGGAAAGCCAAATACTTGCAAAGTAGGCTCCTGTGCAGGACAGGGTGGCTGGATTCAGACTGTCTGGGTTCAAATCCTAGTTTTTTATCACCTGGGAGGTTATTTTACCTCTCTGTTCCTGTTTCTTCATCTGACTTTAATACTGTATATCAGGGGTCCCTCACCCCAGGGCTGTGAACCAGTAGCAGTCCATGGCCTGTTAGGAACCAGGCCACATGGCAGGAGATGAGCGGTGGGTGAGCCAACATTACTGCCTGAGCTCTGCCTCCTGTCAGATCAGCAGCAGCATTAGATTCTCAAAGGTACAAACCCTATTGTGAACTGTGCCAGTGAGGGATATATGTTGCATGCTTCTTAGAAGAATCTAACTAATGCCTGATGATCTAAGGTGGAACAGTTTCATCCCAAAATCATTTCCCCCTGCCACCAATCTGCTGAAAAACTGTCTTCCATGCAACCAGTCCCTGGTGCCAAAAAGGCTGGGGACTGCTGATGTGCATGGCTATTGAAAGAATAAAATGAGATAATGTATACAATGTGCTTAAAACAGAGCCTGATATAGAATACGCATTCAACAAATATTAACTATTACCATCAAGAGCTAGATGACTTCTTTGGTGCTTAATTATGGAGTAATCATTTAGAAGGATGGTTAAATGACATTTTGGTTCAGGATTAACTGCAGAATGATCTAAAGGCAGAGAGAATGGAGAGAAAATGTTCTCTAAGCACAAAATTGTATGGTTACATTTATAAATTGATTGTAAAAGTCCAAAAAGTTATGATGGGTATTTGGGATTAGGAGGTAGAATGACACTATAGATTTGAAATATTAAGCAACAATTATTTGTTGAGCATCTGCTATTGGTTAGCAGTATTCTAGACAATAAAGATACAGAATTAACAAAACAAATATTCCAGCTTTTTTATGACTGCACGTATGAAAGTGTAATAAAGAATTAGATGCTGAAGACACCTGCTGTGTCTGCATGTGGAAAACAGAAGGCAGAAACCAAGGCTGTTAGAGACAATTAGGAGTTATTCAACAACCATTATGCTTACAAAAATGTATGACTCAAAGTCTACTGACCTCCTTCTACCAATTTGAAGATTAGTGATTTAATACTTTAAAAAAATCAATCAAAATCCATTTTAAGTGATATCCAACTTTATTTCATCTCATAAAGAGCAACATAACATTTTGTTAATGTTAAATTCAGAAAAAAAAATCCCTATTTGATCATGTGTTTAGTAGATAAAAATATACTTCACTTCCATATTACAGTCAGAGACAACCAAAGGCAGAGACAGTAGGAATTGGGAAAGAGAGGAAAGGAAGCAGAAATTCAGAGGGAGAGAAACAGATACAGAAAAAGAAGGAAAAAAGAAAACATAGGGAACACCAGGAAAGAAAAAGGGGAGAAGGGTAGAGGGAATAAGAACAAGAGCTAGCGCCACAACTGAGGGGAAAAGAGGAGGAAAGAGAGGAAGAGAGGAAGGAAAGAAGATAGAAGAGAGGAAAGGCTCAGACATTTCGATTAGTCAGAGGCAGTAACTTTTCCATGTTCAAGCTCAGCTATTTACTTTGGGTATCAGTATCAGAGAGAATCATCATTGGTTGTTAAATATTAAGAAATTAAGGAGCCACCAAAATTACTCAGCCAAAAAGTTTTCCCGTTGTTATTACATATAAATACGACTTTAAAGAAACCATCTTTGCTTCTCTCTGCATTCACGTTTTCCTTTGCTCATACTATTTTTCCACTTGAAATATTTTGTCCACCCTCACCTCACATTCGTTCAACAATATTCAATAAACATTTATTGGGTAACTACTGTATAATACCAGGCACATGTGAAATTTTTACATATATCTTAATGAAATGTATAAGCCATTTTAATAATACACAATGAAAATTGGCTATTTTAACAAAATATTCTACTAGACTTGAAGTGAAACAAATTTTTTTCTTCTGCAGCTAACATTTTTCTTCACCTTTTACCATAAGCATTAAAATCATCCTCATGAAAATAATGTCCTTTATCTGAGTTAAAAACATTCTAGAATTCCCCTTAAAATATAGTAAGACTATCACTCCTATAGGAGTCTACGTCCTCCACATCCTCTAAAGTGCGATTAACCTGTGATCATTCTAGCTGTTAAACATAACAGTTTGACATTTGCAGTAACTAGTCACATAAGTTGAACAATAAAAGTTATTTCACCCAGTTAAAATGACATCCCAAAGACATCCTCAAGTGGTCACGCCTGGTCTTGTTCAACCACAACATGACATCATGGGGGCAAGAACGAATGATTTACAGGTGGGCAGCTTGACTGCAATTTATGTAACTCACTTCTGCAGAAATCTGCATGACTTGTGACACACATCACGTGAAAGAGGAACTTACTATAAATATTAAAGTTGGAAATAAGTGTCTGAGAAAGCATTAGAGAATAGTACTTGCTTTAAAAAGAACTGTGGAACTAACTGTACAGATAAATTCAAAATTGAATCTGCATGCAAATTTAGGTAAACATAATTACAAGTGCTAACAGAAACAGACAGAAACTTAGTATCTGATGTTTCGATGCAGCCAATCATGAAGAAAATATGTCCTACTAAGTTCATATTAGAGAATAGGGAATCATGGCACCTTAGGGTTACACAAGACCTTATAAGTTACCTAGTCCATTTCTCCCGCCAAAGCAAGACGTCTTGAGAGATGATTCAGACTCTACACAAATATGTCCAATGACAAAGCACTCACTTTCTCACAAATCATCCTTTCCCACTGTGGGACAGCTGTAGTTATTAGAATGCTTTCCTTATGCTGAGCTGAACTAGACCTCCCTTTAATTCCTAGCAATCCTTTGAAAAAGAAGGAGGATTATTTATGTAATGGTGAGCTCCACAAGAGAAGGTGCCAGTCCATCTTGCCTACTGCCCCGGTCCCAGTGTCTAGCACAAGGGGTGGGACATTATAAAGGAGCCATAAAACATGACTGCCTGGCCAGGCACAGTGGCTCACACCTGCAATCCCAGCACTTTGGGATGCTGAGGCGGGCAGATCGCTTGAGGTCAGGAGTTCAAAACCAGCCTGGCTAACATGGCAAAACCCCATCTCTATTAAAAATACTTTTAAAACCTAGCTGGGTGTGGTGGTGCATGCCTGTAATCCCAGCTACTCACGAGGGTAAGGCAGGAGAAGCGCTTGAATCCAGAGGCAGAGGTTTCAGTGAGCCAAGATTGTGCCACTGCACTCTAGCCTGGGTGACAGAATGAGGCTCCATCTCCAAAAAAAAAAAGACTGCCCTACAGGAGTCAGTCATCAACCCCACTCATTCATCCTTTAGGGCGGTGGTCTTCTAACTCTGGGATGAAGGAAGTTTCTTGTCTCTTACACCCACTGTGGATATTGCTATGAAATGCAAAATTATGTCCTTGAATATCATAATAATATTAAAGTTTTAAAGGCTTACCCTCAAATCTATCCTTACCGTGTGCCAGGTCCGTAACGAACACTTGTGGGGCAGCATCAAGCCACAGACCACACTTTGAGCACCACTCTCTGCTTCAGAGCATCGTCTACATCTGTCCTTCCACTTCACTCTCACAGGCCCTCCTCACGGTATGTCCAGATTTTGCAGCAGCCTCCTGACTGCTTTCCCTGCATGCTACTGCCAAATCAATCTTCTGATTCAATCATCTCACCCCTCTTCTTAAGATATGGAATCTCCCCGTTCCTTATGAGATAAAACCCACACTCCTTCTCCTGCATTCCAGACCCTTTATCATCTGGCCTAAAATCTACACTTCCAACCATGTTTCTCACTAACCACATCCATGCACTCTCCACTTCAAACTGGTTAATCTCTGCAAACCTTCCCCTAACTCTATGCTTATTCGCCATTCCAGGCTTTGTTTTCTTATACTGGAAATTATTTTCTCTTTTGGCTACCTCAAACCAGGAACTTTTTTTTCTTAATTTGAGGTAAAATTCACAATTTAAAATGTATTTATGAAGTGTACAATCCAGTGGTATTTAGTAATTCTTAAAGCTGTGCAATCATCACCTCTGTGTAGTTCCAAAACATGTTCATCACCTCCAAAGGAAATCCTGTACCCATTAAACAGTCACTCCCCCTTTCCTTTCTCTTCAGCCCCTGGCAACTCATCTGCTTCCTATCTCTATGGATGTACCTACTCGGGATATTTTGTACAAATGGAATCATCCTTTAATTCCCTTCTTGTTTCTTTTTCTGTACTGTTTTTAGTATTTTTCGTGAGGCTAACCTGTCAATCCCTGAGTTTCTGAAGTTTAGTTCAATTCCCACTTTCTCTATGAGGCTTTACCTGGCTGTGCCCTCCACTCCACACTGATCTTAGCCTTCTCTGAATTTCCATAGCATTTGTTTTCTCCCTTTACTTATTTCGGCCCTTAATACTGCTGTGAATTGTTAGTTACCAGTTTCAACATTACCCCTTCTTGGCTCACGTAGATGATAAGCTCCTAGCTACAGAAGCTCTGGTATCTCCCTTTGTGCCCAGAACCAACTTGAACACATGTGCAACTCTTTGTGTCTGGCAATACATGAAGGAATAATAAATCAAGAGAACTGAAGTCTAGATGATGAATAAGAGAAAGCCTCAAACCTGTTTCAGTTCTTTATCCTTCCTTATATTATCTTCTCTCAGTAAGAGAAGCATCTGCTTGTGTCTAGCAGGGCACTTCTTTGCCCTAGTAGCTGAACAGGTGTGGTGGCAGAAGGAGAATGGCAGGTTGCCCAAGGGTGGAGAGCATGGAAGTTCCTTGCATTGATCTTTAGTGAGCAGACTCTTACCTTCGTTTTACACCCACAGATGAAGGCCTATCAAGAAGAGTGGGTGTCCAGAGATGTCACAAGGTCCATCTATTTGCTTTGCTTGTATATGTAAAGCACTTTCTTTGGTATTCTGAGGTTGCTCATTAACACATATCTACCTTGTAAAAGGAGATTAACTGTTAAATAATTGTGATGATAATACTTGTGATTCATATATGAACTAGCTGAGCAACTGAATTAAATGACATCTTATACACAAATGAAGCCAAAACTTGATAGTGTTTTATCTAACATTGAAGTTTAAGAAGAAAACCAGTTTCATTTTACGCATGAGTAGTAAGTCTGAATAACATTTTGTACTGGGCATTACTGTAAACTTTTCTCCAACTGTGGTATTAAGCAGAGTTTGTTACAGTTGCCACTGAAGGTTTCCAAACAAGAATGCAAAACAATACTCTGGTCCTCAGGCCATTAAAAAACCTGTTCTTCTGACCAGAACAACTACAAGGTCCAACATAGAATGTTGAAGTCTATAATTAACATTTTTCCCTTTCATATCCCATTTTGCCTGCTTTTGAATAACAAAATGGAAATTTCTCCTGGCATTAGTTCCATATCATTATGTATCATAAAAACAATACATAAAATAGGAATTAATATTTTAAAGAGTAGTTTAGGAAATTCCCTAAGATTGTGGAGAATCCCATACAAGTGATATTGAAAAAGCACACACTTGTCCTCAAAATAAAATCGAGTTGAAAAATATTAATAAAGTGTATATAGTGCACCCAGTTTCCTGTGCTGCTGGCTGGGAATTAGGGAAGGTATACAGTGCACAGCAAGGTAAACAGAATAAGAACTACGATACACATTCCTATCCTCTAAGAACTAACAATTTTGCTTGGTACATGGAATTTTCCCATGAAAATTATAAGACATGACAGCAAATAATCAGCAAACATGTGTAACACAGAACATGGAATATATCAGATTCCATTTCAGAGCAGATCTGATTTCTAATTACGTTTTACTTAGGCTTATATTAATATTTGCATTTTCTGAATTCAAAAGCTGGTTTCACCTCCTTTGAGAATGAAAAAAAAAAAGCTGGGACCAGGATAAATATTTCATACACAAGATATATGACAAAGAAAGTCAATCTGACATTAAAAAATTTAATGTTCACAATAAAAAGAAATTAATTGTGGCTGTATTGTGCTTAGTTAAGATCAAAGATCACACAGAAGGCTAAGTCGAGTACACAGCATGAATTACATGAATGACTTAAAGACACAACCACAGCAATGTGCTGTGTTCAATCACTTGGTCATTTTCTCAGCTTTTATTGAGCCGTGGTAATTTGTGTACCCAGTGCCAGATACTGCTATGTCTCACCATTTTATAAGGTCATGATTATAGGTGGGCAGATTTAATGAGTGGTCATTTGGTAAATGTTTATAGAACCAAATAAATTAACTCTGTTGAAATTTGCAAAATTTGAAGGTTTTGGTTACCTCTGTATTGAGTTACACTGTAACATTTCATGGCCCTGTATATATGAAAGAATTAATTCTACTTAATTTTACATAACGTCCATCAAAATTGACTTTCCTCATCATTTTTTCCCAAAAACTTCATGTGGTTCAGAATTTATTTCTAAGCGATCAATATGATATTTTCTGACAACTTGAAAACAGAACTGAAATAGTAAACAGTTTGTGAATACAGAAACTGAAAATAGCTATAATAAGTAATTTGATCAAAATAATTTGGTTATTTAAAATAGAATCTGAGTCTCCTTTTACTCAACTATTATATTCTAAGCTTGTAAAAGTTTGTAATGGCCTTTTAAAGAGAAAGCAGCCAACTTTATCTCCCAAGAAAAAAAGTTTTTTTGATGTTAATGGGACATTCTCCATGAACTTTGTTTTACATTTTGTTAGGGGTAAATAATTTTTTTAAATTAATTAATTAATTTATAAATTAAATTCACTTGGATATTAACCACTTAAATCTACTGTGAAAACATAAATAATCCTTCTGCAAAGTGAATAATCCTCTTGTCATTTGGATTTTCAAGGAAAGTAATAACTTATTAGCAAAGGATTCATTCACCTCCTTTGGAATAACTCCATTACTGAGACAGAAATAAATTATAAATATATTATGCATACTATACAATATATAATGTATGCAATATAACCTAAGATAACAGGATAGTAAGAGAGCTAGGAAAAAATATTCAAGGACACAGATTTTCTTCCCCATACCCTATACTAAACTCAGAGAGAGCCACCTGAATTCATGGTGCCTAGCAATGCCATCTAGTTACAAGGCACAGGCCCATTCACCCCCTCTTAGTCACTGTCATTCCCACTGAAAATGTTCTCGTTAAATCTAGATAACAATAATCGTAAACTCAAGGAGGAATGGAATTTGTCTGTCTGTTCATGCTTTACCCTCCTTATCTGAAACAGCTCTTGGCACAAAGTAGGGACTCAATAGACATTTGTCGAATAAATCTACAATTAAAAAAAGCTTCAGGCTGGGCGCATGGCTCACGCCTATAATCCCAGCACTTTGGGAGGCAGAGGCCAGAGGACTGCTTGGGCCTATGAGTTCAAGACCAGCCTGGCAATATGGCAAACCCCTGTTTCTACAAAAAATTTAAAAATTAGCTGGGTGTAGTGGCTCACACCTGTAGTCCCACCTACTTGGGAGGCTGAGGTGGGAGGCTCACTTAAGCCCAGGAAGTTGAGCCTGCAGTGATCCATGATGGGACCACTGCACTCCAGCCTGGGTGACAGAGTGAGACCCTGTCTCAATCAATCAATCAATCAATCAATCAATCAATAAAATACAAAAATAAAAAGCATCAGTCTCAGTAGATCTATTCTCTAAGGTATCATCACATCGAGTTTATTTTACCCATAAACACATTCTAAGATCTATAAACTAAATATTGTTAGCTGAAGTTTGTCTTGGCTTATCATTAAGGATGAAATCATCCCAAATTAGGGAGGCATACAGAACAAATATTTATAACACTGATATGAAATTTCTAAAAAGCTTTTAAAACTTTAAGATAAAGATTATTCTAGGACATGCCACAAGTTTCACAAAAGAAGTCCCAAAGAAAGTGACAAGAAAAATGTAATCTGTAACCTCTGTAAAAGGCAAAACCACTTAACTTTCTCCTTTGGGATTTCTAGGACAATGCAACAGAAAAGATGAAAAAAGAATTCATTCAAAGGCTATTACTCTGTATATGTGTGTGTGTGTGTGTGTGTGTCTATACATATATATAACTTTCACAATGTTCACACTGATTTTAGGAAACCCCTACTCGCTTGCAATTTTACATTTCTTTTTATTTTTAAAATTATTATCACAAATTATATCAAGGGCTCATAATGACCATTTGTAACAGTTTACCTTTGCGTGCATCTGCATCAGCTGCTATTTATAATAAGCGCAACATTCTGTCAGGAGCTGGAAAACTGGATAACTCTATCATGAGGTCATTCAATTTTAGAAAAAAAAGGAACATAATAGAAAAAAATTAGAAAAAAAAATCAAGAGAAAAGGGCTTTAAAAGAAAGTAACTCTGGAAACTTTTTTTGTTTGTTTGTTTTTGTTTTTGTTTTTTTTGTTTTTTTTGTTTTTTTTGAGACGGAGTCTCGCTCTGCCGCCCAGGCTGGAGTGCAGTGGCCCGATCTCAGCTCACTGCAAGCTCCACCTCCCAGATTCACGCCATTCTCCTGCCTCAGCCTCCCGAGTAGCTGGGACTACAGACGCCCGCCACCGCGCCTGGCTAGGTTTTTTTTTTTTTTGTATTTTTTAGTAGAGACAGGGTTTCACCGTGTTAGCCAGGATGGTCTCGATCTCCTGACCTCGTGATCCGCCCGTCTCGGCCTCCCAAAGTGCTGGGATTACAGGCTTGAGCCACCGCGCCCGGCAGGAAACTATTTTTTAAAAGCTCTATTTGCCAGCATATGCTAAAGATCAAGTAGATCATGGACCCAAACAAATCAACCAAATTAAACCTTACGTATGGCTGAGAACATTAAGAGGCCATAAAAGTGATGGGTTTCTTTCCCCATGCCAAATGGAGACTAGGCAAGTAAAATGTACAGGGAAGTCCAATATGTGAAATAAAATTTAATATAAAATAAATTTTGGGTATAATAGGAAAAAATCATGTATTGCCTTGATCTTTATTGATCAGAAGCACAGACACACCAAAAAGAAAAAAAAATCTATAAATGTATGCTTTTAATTATAGAAGTAATTTATATTACTGAATAAACTTTGGGAAAGATAGAAAAATATAAAAACAAACAGAAAGCCCTCCATATCTCACTACTTTAATATAACTATTATCACTTTTGTATATTCTCTTCCAGACTTTTTCATATACATACATTTTTGTAAGGTTCCAATCAATAGTTCACATACTCTTTTTTTTCTACTTTTTAAATATTTTTCAGAGTTGTGAGTAGTTTCTAAATTGTCATTATAATTGCATAATATTTTACCTATTGATTATACCATAATTTACTTAACTATTTCCCTACTGTTGGATATTTAAGTTACTTCCAAATATGGGTTCTTATAACAATGCTTTTATGAAACTCTTTGTGTATATGGCTTTTCCTATATCCTCCAGCCCTTTGGGAAAAGTCCCAAAAGTTACAAAACACTGCCCAATGCTTTCTAAGTGGCCTGAACTAAATCTTAGTGACATCAGATATATATGAGTATAAATCTCTTTAATCCTTGAAATTACAGAATTTTAAAATAAAAAAAAAAACTATTATCAACAATCACTAGGAAGGGAATATTTTCTACTATTATTAAACTGTAATTGAGGTTTACAAATCTATATCTTGTAAATCTGTTTAACATGAACCAGTCCTCTAGGGCCGATCATCCTCTGTGATTTTATAAAATCCAGTCTTTGAAGCTGTAGTCTTTGACGCGGAGACTCGGGATTCCTAAGCAGCCATGCTAAGCTAAAAAGAACCAGTGTTGCAAGGTCTAATTAGTGAGCTGGCTCGCCTCTTGACAAAAGCTTATTGACAACACCACTGAGCTTTTCTAAGTAATAAATGATAAGCCAGTGGGGGTAATTTTATAGGATGGTTCCAAGAGATCCTATGAATGGAGAGAGATAGGGCAAAGGACTTAACCATAAGCAAGGGTAAGGCCTACTAGAAATCATCCAAAGCACACTAACAAATGGGCCCCACACTATCAGGTGGGGTGCAAGAATCATCTTGGACCAAGAGTTCCCAAAGAGCATATAAAGCAGAGTCCCTAAAACACAGATTGCTAGGCCCACCCCAGGTCTGGGATGGGGTCCAAGAAATTGCATTTCTAACAAGCTGCCATAGGATGCTCACAATCGCAGGACTACATTTGAAGAACCATTGTCTTAGACTAATTCTTTATTCTTTTTTTTTTTTTTTTGAGACAAAGTCTTGCTCTGTCATCCAGGCTAGAGTGCAGTGGCACAATCTTCTCAACTCACTGCAAACTCCACCTACCGGGTTCAAGCGATTCTCCTGTCTCAGTCACCTGAGTAGATGGGATTACAGGTGTGTGCCACCACGCCCAGCTAATTTTTGTATTTATAGTAGAGACGGGGTTCTGCCATGTTGGCCAGGTTGGTCTCAAACTCCTGGCCTCAAGTGATCTGCCTGCCTCAGCCTTCCAAAGTGCTGGGATTACAGGTGTGCGCCACCACGACTAGCTCTTTCTTCTTTATAGAACATTTAAGTGCCTACTAAGCATTGTGCTATACACTGGAATAGAATCCAGTCAGTACCTGCCTTCAAGAAACTGGTATCCAGATTTTTGCAGACATCGAACTGCTCTAGTCCTAAAAGTCACCCAATATTAGCCTTCTTCGCCTGGCACAGTGGCTCACGCCTGTAATCCCAGCACTTTAGGAGGCCGAGGCAGGTGGTTCCCCTGAGGTCAGGAGTTCGAGACCAGCCTGGCCAACATGGTGAAACCCCGTCTCTAATAAAAATACAAAAAATTAGCCAGGCGTGGTGGTGGGCGCCTGTAATCCCAGCTACTTGGGAGGCTGAGGCAGGAGAATCGCTTGAACCTGGGAGGCGGAGGTTGCAGTGAGTCAAGATGGCGCCACTGTACTCCAGCCTGGGCAAGAAGAGCGAAACTCCATCTCAAAAAAAAAAAAAAAAAAAAAAAAAAATGTTTTTTGAACCTTCTTGAAAACAAAGTGTAAAAATACATTATATTGCTTTTAAATAAAATCAGGATGCTTCTAATCAGTTCCAAATTCTTTAGGAAAACATGTAGTAATCCTACATTGCCAAATGCCTGGGTATTTTCTGTACTCTTCTGGATTATACTTGACATATGCAAATGATTTTTGAAGTTTCTACTTCATTTATATTGACATCATTCTTATGTTTGTTTTCCTTTATAAACTTTATCCACCATATGAAACAGAAGAAAGAATTTATATAGGTGCTTTTCTAGATGCAGTCAAAAGCTTGTTTACATAGGTAATTATCAACTGATGGAAAAGAATAACATTTAGTGAGGAACACTTTGGGATTTTCTGTTTTAGATTCACAGACTTTAGCAAGACTTTGTAAAAAATGCATGACGAGTAAGCAATGTGATTAGTCATGAAGCACGAGGGTAGCCCATACCTAACTGCTAAATACCACCTATTAGCTGATTCACAGAATTATGACCTTGCTTTTGAGGTGGCTACTAAGTTTCTGTTTCTAACAGAGATGCACTGGCTTGCCATACTATTTTCAGCAAAAACAAAATTAACTATATATAATTATTATTTTTTTGAGACAGAGTTTCACTCTTGTTGCCCAGGCTGGAGTGCAATGGTGTGATTTCCGCTCACTGCAACCTCCACCTCCTGGGTTCAAGCGATTCTCCTGCCTCAGCCTCCTAAGTAGCTGAGATTAAAGGCATGTGCCACCATGCCCAGCTCATTTGTATTTTTAGTAGAGGCGGGGTTTCTCCACGTTGGTTAGGTTGGTCTCGAACTCCTGACCTCAGGTGATCCACCTGCCTCTGCCTCCCAAAGTGCTGGGATTACAGCTGTGAGCCACTGCGACTGGCGCATGTATGATATTTTATGATCTGTGGATCTGCCAAAGGATTAAGCATTATTTATACTACTTTGGCACATTATTTTCTGAAGTGATTGAAAAGTTCCTCTCATTTCAATCTATTAGGAAGCTACTTTTAAAGCCTGTAAGAGTTGACTCATGAAGAGACCACATAATTTGTCTAACATCACAGAGGAAATACAAGATATAATGAAGTGATAATATTCAGATATTTAATTACATTAAGATAATACTAGCTCATAACTTGAACTGTGATAACATTTCTTAGGTTAATTGATGTTTCAGAATAACTGTTTTGAGGTCAAAAATGGTTCAAGGAAGATCTGTGACTTGTCTTGACTCAGAAAAAAAATGATGGGTAAATATAACTTTTTCTATCACTGCTATTCCAAATGGTTATTTTCCTATTTTGTTTCACCGCGTCTGGCTTATGAGGAAACTGGGACATGCATTAACTTTATTTTTCCCTCTCCTAACCCCCTCTTTCAAACTCCAAATCTGTTTTCTACTCCTTAAAGGCCTTGTTTTCAGGTAGCAAGGAAACAAGCAACTAGCCTTTCACATTTTTGCTGATAGTGGTTTAGTGAACTAACCCCACTAGGAACTTTGGAATTTTAAAAGTAGACCCAAAACTTTCAAATTCAAAAACATTTTAAACTTGAATTCAAAGACATTCAAATTCAAAGACATTTTAAGGGGTGAATGACAGCCAGAGGGGTGTGGTCAAGGTTAGGAAGTTCCTTTCAGAACTTCATCTTTGCACTCGAACAGTTTGACAGTTAAGTTTCTCCACTGCCCTCGATATAAAGGAAGACTTACTCCTTAAACATATAGGATGAAAAAGTAACCTCTTTCCATTCCCTTTCCCAAATTATCTTCTTTAGTATAGAGCCAGAGAGAATAACAGTGCTAAGTGGCAAACTGAGATGTCCTATGATGTCACCAAGAAGCAGGGTAAATTCTTAGAAATCAACCTTATATTTTAAGACTATACACAGTAATCATGCAACCTGCTGATTGTGGGAGTTGAGCATACACAGATCTGGTACATTCCTACTCACGGTATTTCCCTATTTCTCTACCTCCCTCATATCTACCTTCTCCTTATCTGTGGCAAACTGTGAAGGACTTCTCACCCCACGTTTACGCTAATGTGAACTCTTCTCAGAAGGTCAGATAATCTGTCTCAATATGTCTTATCCACGCATTATAATCCTCTCAGATGAGTCTACAAATTAAAGTGGTGTTTTTTTTAAAATAGTGACATAGTTAAAACCAAGCAATGAATTTATTTTCTAAAATCAATGAAGTGGAATAAAAATGCTTCCTAAACAGATATTGAATCCAACTGAACTGAACTTACACGATCTAAT